TTTATTTTCTCCTTGAACTTCTGTGGACCCTGTGAGATAGACCACTTCTTCTGTGACCTCCCACCTGTCCTGGCACTTGCCTGTGGAGATACATCCCAAAATGAGGCTGCCATCTTTGTTGTAGTAGTCCTCTGCATTTCTAGCCCATTTTTGCTGATCATTTATTCCTATGTCAGAATTCTGGTTGCAGTGCTGGTGATGCCTTCACCTGAGGGACGCCATAAAGCTCTCTCCACCTGTTCCTCCCACCTACTTGTAGTCACACTGTTCTATGGCTCAGCATCTATTACTTACTTGAGGCCCAAATCTAGCCACTTACCAGGAATGGACAAACTCTTGGCCCTCTTCTACACAGCAGTGACATCCATGCTGAATCCCATCATCTATAGCTTAAGGAACAAGGAAGTAAAGGCAGCACTGAGAAGAACTCTGGGACTGAGGAAAGTTCTGGCAATAAATGGGTAAAAGAATCATGCAAAGCTGCTAGCTAATAATATGCAAAGAGCCATATTAAACAAACAAAAACTGATACATTCTTCTGTTTACCTTATTTGATTCTCTTTGTAATTTTCAAGGCACCTCTGTGGTAAGTTCTATTTTCTAATTGCTAATTCTGAAGTGAAATCAAACACTACAAAATGCAAGTAAAGTGTAAAATACTGCAGAGAGATTTTCCATTATGTTTAAGTCCAGGATGTTAATCTAAATTGCCAAGTTATATCTCAGAAGTCTTGCAAACTCAAGACCTGGTGTCCCTATAATTTCTTCTCTTTATTCAGACATATATCATATGACTCTCTATTCCATTATAACTATATAAAAGGTCTTATTTCAGTAATATTTGTATTTTTATTAAATAGTGCCATATACCACAACTTTGAATTCTTCTGTGACATAAATATACCAAAAAATGTATGGATTTTACAATTCACTGAACTGTTGAGATTTTATATGATTTGCTTTAAAATATTAAATAAAATATAAGATTTTTCAAGACTTTCTATGTTGGTTTTCTGTATTTTATTCTATTATCATCATCATCATTATCATATTTAACTTATTCACTTTATATCCAGCCAGACACACCATCCCATAATTCTTTCCCCAATCCCACCTCCCCTTCTTCTCTTAGTTGGTTGTGTCCTTTCTGGAAATCCTTCAACCCTGATGATTCAAGACTCTGTGAGGCTAGTCAAATTCTCTTCCAGTGAGGCCAGACTAAGCAGCCCAGCTAGAAAAACACATCCCACATGCAGGCAAAAGCTTTTGGGATAGCCCCAATCCTATTATTCAGGATCCACATAAACTCCAAGCTACACATACATTACATATGTGGTATGTGCAGGGAGGCCTATGTCCAGCCCATGTATACTCTTTGGTTGATGGTTCAGTCTCTGAGAGCACCAAGGGTTCAGGTTAGATGACTCTGTTAGTCTTCCTGTGGAGTTCCTATCTCCTTACAAGCTGCAACCCTGGCTCCCATTTTCCTATAAGAGTCCCTAAGCTCCATCCACTGTTTGTGAGTGTTCATATCTGTCTGAGTCAGGTGCAGGTGGAGCCTCTCAGAAGACAGCCATGCTAGACTCCTGTTTGCAAGCATAACAGAGTATCATGAATAATGTCAGTGATTGGTGCTTGCCAACGTGATGGGTCATAAGTTGTGCTGGTTATTGGTTGGCCATTCCCTCAGTCTTTGCTCTATCCCCTATGCCAACATTTCTTGTAGACAGGATATATTTTTGGTCAATTTATATGGGTGGGTTGCTGTCTCTATGGCTCCACTAGGGTTCCTGCCTGGCTACAGGAGGTGGCTATTCCTCAATTTAGTGAGTCACAGTCAAGGACACACCCATGGATTCTCCCTTTTCCCAGGTCTCTTTTTCTTCCCTGAGAAGTCCCCTACCTTCTCACACCTGTCAGTTGCAGATTTCCATTCATTGTCATGGTTATCTGATCATCCCTCCTGTCCCTCCCCACCTACTTCCTACCCTATCTCTCACTTATCCTGTTCATTTCCTCCATCTGCCTCTTATGACTATTTTTCCCCCTTCTAAGTGAGATTCAAGCATCCCAGCTTGTGTCTTTTTTTCTTGTTTACCTTCTTTTGGTCTGTGAAGTATAGCATAGTTATCTTGTATTTTATGGCTAATATCCACTTATAATTGAATACATAGCATGCATTTTCTTTTGAGGCTGGATTACCTCACTCAGGATGGTATTCTCAAGATCTATCCATTTGCCTGCAAAATGCATGATGTCTTTGTGTTTAATAACTAAGTAGTATTCCATTGTGAAGATGTACCAAATTTACTGTATCTATTCTTTAGGTGAGACAGCTAAGTTATTTCCAGTTTCTGGCTATTACGAGTAAAGCTGCTATGAACATAGTAGAGCAAGTGTCTTTGTAGGATGGTGGAGTATCTTTTGGGTATATGTCTAGGAATGGTATCAATGGGTCTTGAGGTAGAACTATTCCCAGTTTTCTGAGAAACTGCTAAATTGATATTCAAAATGACTGTACAAGTATGCACTCCCACAATGAATGGAGGAGTGTTCCCCTTGCTCTACATCCTACCAGGAATATGCCATCTCTTGATTTGTTGGTCTTAGCCATTCTGAGGGGTGTAAGATGGAACCTCAGAGATGTTTTGATTTGCATTTCCCTGATGACTAAGAACTTTGAATATTTCTTTAAGTGTTTCCTGGCCAATCGAGATTCCTATGTTGAGAATTGTTTAGTTCTGTACCCCATTTTTTAACTGGGTTATTTGGGTTGTTGATGTCTAGCTTCTTTGTAAATTTTGTTCAGGATTGTTTTGGCAATCGTGGGTTTATTATTTTTCCATATTAAGTTGAGAATTGCTCTTTTAAGGCCTTTAAAAATTGTGTTGGAATTTTGATAGGAATTTAATTAAATCAGCAAATTGCTTTTGGTAAAATGGCCATTTTCACTGTTTTATTCCTACCAATCTATGGGGATGGGAAATCTTTTCATCTTCTGATGTCTTCTTCAATTTCTTTCTCTAGGGACTTGAAGTCCGTGTCACACAGATCTTTCATTTGCTTGGCTAGAGTTACAGCAAGATGTTTATATTAGTCATGGCTATTGTAAATGGTGTTTTTTTTTCTCTAATTTCTTTCTCAGCCAATTAATCATTTGTATGAAAGAGGGCTACTAATTTTTTTGAGTTAATTTTGTACCCACCCATTTTGTTGAAGCTGTTTGTCAGCTGTAGGCTTTCTCTGGTAGAACTTTTGGTGTTGCTGGGCGGTGGTGGTGCACGCCTTTAACCCCAGCACTTGGGAGGCAGAGGCAGGTAGATTTCTGAGTTCGAGGCCAGCCTGGTCTACAGAGTGAGTTCCAGGACAGCCAGGACTACACAGAGAAACCCTGTTTGGCGTTGATTATGAATACTATCATATAATCCACAAATAGTGGTACTTTGACTTCTTTTCTGAATTGTATCCCCTTGGTGTCCTTTAGTTTCCTTGTTGTTCTGGTTAGAACTTCAAGTACTGTATGGAATAGTTAGGGAGATAGTGGGCAACCTTGTCTTGTCCCTGATTCTAGTGCCTTGCTTTAGCTTTCTCTCCATTTAGCTTCCTGTTGGTTATTGGATTGTTGTATACTACTTTGATTATGTTTACGTATGTGTTTTATATCCCTGATCTCTCTAATACTTTTAACATGAAGGGGGAGGGTTAGATTTTGTCAAAGGCTATTTCAGTTTCTAATAAGATAGCTGTGTAATTTTTTCTTTACTTTTGTTTATAATGTATATTAAATATATTGATTAATTTTCCTATATTGAACCATCTGTGCACCTCTGGGATGAAACCTACTTTATCATGATAGATGATGTTTTTAATGTGTCCCCATATTCCTTTTGCCAGTATTTTATTGAGTATTTTTGCATTAATATTCACACGAGAAATCAGTTTGAAGTTCTCTTTCTTTGTTGAGTCTTTGTGTGGTTTAGGTAGCAGTGTGACTGGCTTCATGGAATGGGTTTGGCAGTGTTCATTTTCTTTCTATTTTGTGGAATAATTTGAGGTGTATTGGTACTAGATCTTCTTTGAAAGTCTTGTAGAATTCGAAACTAAAATCATCTGACTTGTTTTGTTGGGATATTTTGAATGCCTGCTTCTACATTTTTAGGGGTTATAGGGCTATTTAAATAATTTACCTGATATTGATTTAACTAGAAAATTGTTCATTTCATTATGGTTTTTGAATTTTTTGGAATACAGACTTTGGAAGTAAGAACTAATGATTCCTTGAATATCCTCAATGTCTGTTGTATGTCTCCCTTTTAATTTATGATTTTGTTTATTTGGATACTGTCTCTCTGTCTTTTGAATAATTTGGCTAAGGATTTTTATTTTTTGTTGATTTTCTCAAAGAACCAGCTCTTGGATTTGTTGATTCTTTGTATTGTTTTCTTTGTTTCTAACTGATTGATTTCAGCCCCAATTTTGACTATTTCCTACCATCTACTCTTCTTGTGTATTTTTGCATTTTTTTCTAGAGCTTTAAAGATGTACTTTAAATTGCTGATATGAAAACTCTTTAATTTCGTTATGGAGGCACTTAGTACTGTGAACTTTCTTTTTTTCTTTCTTTCTTTTTTTTTTAACATTCCAGATTTTATTCCCCCCTCCCAGTTCACCCTCCGACTGTTCCACATCCCATACCACCTCCCGACTCCCTGTCTCCACGAGGATGTCCCCATCCCCCACCTCCCACCTAACCAGACCTCTAAACTCCCAGGAGCCTCCAGTCTCTTGAGGGTTAGACTGAAGTCAGACCTGGCAGTCCTCTGCTGTATATGTGTTGGGGGCCTCATAACAGCTGGTGTATGTTGTCTTGTTGGTAGTCCAGTGTTTGAGAGATCTCAGGGGTCCAGCTTAATTGAGACTGCTGGTACTCCTACAGAGTCACTCTCCTCCTCAGCTTCTTCCAGACTTTCCCTAATTCAACCACAGGGGTCAGCAGCTTCTGCCCATTAGTTGGGTGCAAATGTCTGCTTCTGACTCTTTCAGCTGCTTGTTGGGTCTTCCATAGTGTGGTCATGATAGGTCTCATTTTGTGAGTGTTCCATAGCCTCAGTAATAATGTCAGGCCTTGGGACATCCCCTTGAGCTGGATCCCACTTTGGGCCTGTTGCTGGACCTCCATCTCCATCCCTGCAATTCTTTCAGACAGGAACAAAGATGGGTCAGAGTTTTGACTGTGGGATGGCAACCCCCTCTCTCACTTGATGCCCTATCGTCCTGCTGGAGGTGGGCTCTATAAGTTCCCTCTTCCTACTGTCGGGCATTTCATCCCTCATCTCCCAGGTCTCTCAACCTCCTACCTCCCAAGGTTGCCTGTTTCCATTCTTTCTGCTGGCCCTCAGGGCTTCAGTCCTTTTCCTTCACCCAATACCAGATCAGGTTCCCCTCTTCCCCCCACCCTGTCCACT